TGACTCCCGAGGCTTAGGGGCGACGAGGCGGGTGGAGGGATGCGATGGGGTGGGTGTGGGAGGAGGAAATAATTTCAGAAAAGTAGGTCAGATGGACGCGCATTCCACTGACACGTGTGGGCAGGGCCTGTCCTCCGCCTGCAGTGGACAGAGGACAGGGCGGGAGGGGTCGGGGGAACTCCCGGGAGGAGGTGCGGTGTGTGAGGTTTTGTTTTCAGTTGTCGGGAAGAAACAATTTTCTCACCTTGAGGTTTTTCTCCCCAAAGTTTTTCCACAATCCCTGCCTCCCACTCTCCTCAGGGCCAGAGGTGGGGGCCCCAGTGCCACGGTGGACCCTGAGGGGGTGGCCGGCTCCTCCCTGCACCTCTGCCCGCCTCTGCCCGGCCTGGGAGGGCAGATGGGAACAGCCTGCGGGGCAGGGCGGGGTGAGGACAGGAGGTGTGAGGGGCGGCTCCCGGGTGTGGCTCTGCTGAAGTCCAAGGTGTGGATCCTGGAGGGAGGGAGGGAGGGAGGGGGCGGTGAGGGCACAGCACCGGGCGTGGAGTCAGGGGCGGAGTGCTGAGTGACGGGCGCTGAGTGAGGCTCCTCTGTGTGATGCCAGTCAGCGCCCAGCAAGGAGGCCTGGGAGGTGTGATCCCCACAGCGGCCTCCGGGCTCCTGGCCGCCCCGCCCACCCTGAGCTCATTCCAGGCCCTGTTTTCCCACAGCGCTGCCCTGGGGTGTGTCTAACGGACATGAGGATGGGTGGGGTGGGGTGGGGAGAGGAAGCCACGCACGTGGGCCCCAGCGCCACCAGGGGCCCCTGTGCCACGGTGCCTGGTGCTGTCCTGTCCTGGTCCGGGCAGAGGGCTCTGCGTCCTGCACTGTGGTGGGGAGTCCGGGTGGCCCTGGGGACCTTGGCCGGGCCCCCTCCTGAGCACAGGGCCCTGCAGACCATGGGCCTCGCTGCCCTGCACTCACCGACGGTTGGAAACGCTTCTCCCGGAAACTCTGTCCAGTTGTTGCGTCCGCGGTTGTAACTCAAGGCAACGCCTCCTGAAAGACACGTCTCTCCTGTGTGCAGAGCGAGACTGGGGTTCCCTCCCCGATTCCTGGGGGGCCGCCGGCGTGGCTGTCTCCTCCACTCAAAGCCGGTAAAGGGCAGCAAACCAGCCCCTGAGCCGGGCACCGGGGCAGCTGTGGGCCGGCGCCCGCAGGGAGGGTCAGGAGGGGCCCACTGGCCAGCAAGGGGA